AGGTTGTTCAATTTTTGACATGAATGTTATTGCGTCGTCATGTCATGATTTCTACCGAATATGTCAGTATAGTGAATAAGCTCCAACCAAGATTGATAACAACTTTTATTTGGCTTACGTTTCGGCGCTTTCGCCTTCTTCAGAGCCTGGAAAGAGGAAAGCCATTTACGAAACTACCCGTCCAAATACTATTTCAACCTACAAGAATCGCTCAGCAGGGGTAAACTACTAGGGCGACGTCGTGGGACAGAAAAGACAACTAACCTTTAGAAAAGTCGACCAATGAGGTCCACCTGCCACCCTGAGCTGACAGTAATGCGGCTTAAATAGGTGAAGCCCTCAAGGTCACTTGCTTCGGTTATTTGCTGGTTGTTATCATCTCCATGATCAACCCTCAGGAGGGTCCTTAAGCAAGTGACCTTGGGGCTTCACCTATTTAAGCCGCATTACTGTCAGCTCAGGGTGGCAGGTGGACCTCATTGGTCGACTTTTCTAAAGGTTAGTTGTCTTTTTCTGTCCCACGACGTCGCCCTAGTAGTTTACCCCTGCTGAGCGATTCTTGTAGGTTGAAATAGTATTTGGACGGGTAGTTTCGTAAATGGCTTTCCTCTTTCCAGGCTCTGAAGAAGGCGAAAGCGCCGAAGCGGACGTAAGCCAAATGGAATCAAGGCGCTTGGACACGGTGACACCTGAAGGTAGCGTGAATTAGGATGTTTCTGCTGTACTCACGTAAAATGCGCGACGCATTGCCGCATCGCCTCCCACTTCTTTTCTCTGCGCTTTCTCAACGAGGAGAGAATGCGTCGAGCAAACTCGCCAAATATACTAAGCGCCGTTCATGTAGGAGGTGGAGGATGGCACGCATGTCACACCTCGCGGCCTCGCGTACGCTGCGACGCTCATCTATTTTTGGATTGCTGCCCTGGAAAGCGGGGGTAGCCTCATTGTGAGCATAACCCATAGGATTGTTACTGCAGAAAGCGCGTCGATGCGACGCGCAATGTACGTGACTGCGGCAGGAACATCGTAATTCACGCTTACTTCGGGTGCTCACTCTGTCTAAACGGCTTACGTCGCAAAATGAACGTTATTATCAATCTTGGTTGGAGCTTTTTCATTACACTGACAGATTTCGGTACGACTCATGCCACATGGAAACTGTATTCAGCGTTCTGCGACTTTGTCAGCTGGCTTTCCCACATTTGGCGGAGACTAAAGGCGAAATCGTGAATGTGAGCAGTGTCGTAGGCCAGCCAAACGGCGCAGTGAGTGACTTTATCGTAAACTTAGGTTTCAAATGAATTCTGAAGTTCTTCAGCGAAACTATCCATTATTTGGTTTTCAGTCAACATCGTCCCCATACTACAGTATTGCCAAAGCGGCGCAGGACCAACTAACCAAAAATCTTGCCATTCACTATATCCAGAAAGGTGTTCGAGTGAATAGTGTTAGGTGAGTTTCGTC